GGGGTGCCCGGGGTGTGTTTGGGGTGCCCGGGGTGTGTTTGGGGTGCCCGGGGTGTGTTTGGGGTGCCCAGGGAGTGTTTGGGGTGCCCAGGGTGTGTTTTGGGGTGCCTGGGGTGTGTTTGGGGTGCCCAGGATGTATTTGTGGTGCCCAGGGAGTGTTTGGGGTGCCCAGGATGTGTTTGGGTGCCTGGGGTGTGTTTTGGTTTTCTGGGGTGTGTTTGGGGTGTCCAGGGAGTGTTTGGGGTGCCCGGGGTGTGTTTGGGGTGCCCAGGGAGTGTTTGGGGTGCCCGGGGTGTGCTTGGGGTGTCCAGGGAGTGTTTGGGGTGTCCAGGGAGTGTTTGGGGTGCCCGGGGTGTGTTTTGGGGTGCCCAGGATGTGTTTGGGTGCCCAGGGAGTGTTTGGGGTGCCCAGGGTGTGTTTGGGGTGCCCAGGGAGTGTTTGGTGGTGCCCAGGGAGCGTTTGGGGTGCCCGGGGTGTGTTTGGGTGCCCAGGGAGTGTTTGTGGTGCCTGGGGTGTGTTTTGGTTTTCTGGGGTGTGTTTGGGGTGCCCAGGGTGTGTTTGGGGTGCCCAGGGAGTGTTTGGGGTGCCCAGGGTGTGTTTGGGGTGCCCGGGGTGTGTTTGGGGTGCCCAGGGTGCGTTTGGGGTGCCCAGGGTGTGTTTGGGGTGTCCAGGGAGTGTTTGGGGTGCCCGGGGTGTGTTTGGGTGCCCAGGGAGTGTTTGGGGTGCCCAGGGTGTGTTTTGGTTTTCTGGGGTGTGTTTGGGGTGCCCAGGGAGTGTTTGGGGTGCCCGGGGCATGTTTTGGGGTGCCCAGGGAGTGTTTGGGGTGCCCGGGGTGTGTTTGTGGTGCCAAGGGAGTGTTTGGGGTGTTTGTGGTGCCCAGGGAGTGTTTTGGGGTGCCCAGGGTGTATTTTGGGGTACCCGGGGTGTGTTTGGGGTCCCCGGGGTGCGTTGGGGGGTCTCCCAACTCTCTTCCCCCCCCCCCAGGTACGGGATCCTGGTGGACCCCATCCAGGTGGTCTCCCTGTTCCTCAAGGACCCCTACAGCTGGCCCGCCCCCTGCCTCATCATCGGTCAGTCCCGGGGCCCCCCCACACTCTGGGGGGTCCTGGAGCCCCCCCCCGGGTCTTCAGAGCCCCCCCAAAACCCCCCCAACGCCCCCCTCTCCCCCCCTCTCTCAGTGGCCAACGCCTTCGCCGTGGTGACCCTTTCCCTGGAGCGACGCCTGGCAGCGGTGAGCCCCGGCCACGGGGGGGTCCGGGGGGGTCCTGGGGGGTATTTTGGGGGTCCCCCCGCAGCGCCGTGACCCCCCCCGTGTCGCAGGGGACCCTCTCGGAGGGGGCGGGGGCCGCCCTGCACGCCCTGAACCTGCTGAGCATCCTCTGCTTCCCCGCCGCCGTCGTGCTGCTCGTGCCCTCCGTCACCCCGGGTGAGCTCCGGGGGGGCTCGGGGGGGTTATTTTGGGGTGCAGCCCCCCCCCGCTGACCCCCCCACCATCGTCCCTCCCGCAGTGGGGGCCGTGTTCGCCCTGGCCATCTACACCATCCTCTTCCTCAAGCTCTTCTCCTTCCGCGACGTCAACAAGTGGTGCCGGGAACGGCCCCCGAAACCCCCCC